CCTCAGTTAGAAAAGTTCACAAAACTAATATCAGCCTTTAATCTAGATTTAAGTTCTCTAAGGACGTTTCCAATAGCAGTGACAGCTCCTGTTTTTACCAGAGGAAGCCCACAGATTGTACTAAGGTTTTGATGGGGACGTGTGTCTTGAAATGGTTCAGCCTTTAATATTCTTTGTAGCATTTTTGTTAAGACAGGACAAAATGGGAAAGGCACTGTAGCTATGCACTGAAAGTCCTGTAGGAAAAATGAAACTCTTACTGCAAGAAACTAAATTACTATGACTGCTTATTTCCAATGGAAGCTTTTATCCTTCTAAGAGCTTTTGTTGCAAAGAAAGAGAGTCCACATTTTATTCTGCTTCTCAAAAACAACAACAACAACTACAACTACAACTACCCTACTACAATCTGAAATCAGTTAAGTGGCTATTATTGCATAAAAAAGGATACTTTCATTTAAGGCAGAAAATAAGTGATTGCTGTTATCCTATTTATAAATTGATACCGGTTAAAATTCTGCCAACTCTCTGTATTGAATATACAGTGTCTTCTATTGAGCTATTGATGACAAAGCAGCTTTTCCTTTTCTGCTGTTAGATGATTGGAATAACTAAAGGAAAGTTTCATAGCATGACAAACTGCTACAAAGCAAAACATTTATTTTGCAGTAACGATGCAGTTGGATTGGAAGGGCATTAATTGGTACAGCAATTATTATGCTGTCACTCACAGAAAGATGCAACGGAAGGGAGCAGATGGAAACTGAAAAATAGCATAAACTACATTACAGCTTATTGATTTTCATATACTCATTGAAAGTGAAAACGTGGGTCTATTTCAATTCCAAATAAAGACATACAGATTTTCCCCTGAATTTAACTGCATTTGGAATTAAAATCCAGGGAACACAGCTGGGCTCCATTTTTTATACTTTCTAAAACAATTTTGTATTTCATTTCATTATATATATTTTTAGGGAAAATAAGTATTTGGAAACATAATTTTTGAAACAGATTTTAAGCATTACTTTTTATAATTAAAAATAATTTTGAATCAAAATATTTTAAATTGATTTCCTAGAATATATAGGAAATATTAAGAAAGTGAATATAAAAAAATCCAACAAACAACCTTCCTTATATATTAAAATATTTTGGTTTTATTCTCAAATAGCATTTTAATTTTTGTTGGAATTTTAAGTGAAATGTATAATTCTTTTTGGATATCATCGAGATCAGTCAGTATCTGAGTAGATTATACTTGTTACAGAATCCTACCACTTTCCAGAACTAAAAGTCCATTATTTATCTTAAAAGTTTTTGGGATTGTTATCAAGTCACACTCTAGAAAAGAAGAAATTCTACTTATGCATTCAGAAAAGACTGCTGAATTGGCAGTGAATTTACAAAATTGTTGCATCTTAAGGATTAAGGTTTCAATATTGCAATTTTGGCACAAGAATACTAGTGTTTTATGATAAGTACATTTACACATCAATATTTTGAAACGAAGAAAATGCATGTACTTGTTTTAATACTTACAAATAAAGGTAATTGACTGTGAACATTATGTACAGAAGAAATGAGCATTCTTTCATCTGTACTCCTACCTAAAAGAGCAAGTATTTAAAAACACTATGTTAATCACATAACTAAAACTGATGTATCGACTAGAAGGCAGATTGATTACTACATAGTTTAATCATAGTTGGGTGTTGCAAAACATTGCTTTTAAATACTTTGCTCTCCTATTGCATTTAAAATGTATTTTACCTTTAAAATCCTATCACAAGCTATCACAAGCTGCTGTAGCTCTTGTGGTAGAAATATCAGAACATCAACAACATCTTTCACAAAGATGAGTAGGTTTACCTTGCCCTCTACTTTTAATTTATTTAATTATTTTAATTTATTTAATTTATTACTATTTTAATTTATTATTTATTGCTAGGGATTTTTTCTAATAATACATCTTTTTATTCATAGTACCAGCTTTCCATGCCTCAATGTGTTATAAAGGGAGGAGTCATATATATATATGCCCACTATTGAACATCTCCATCTACTTGACCATGTGTCACATTACATTACATTACATTACATGCATCACATCTTTTCCATTTTTACCCCTATTCCTGCAGCCAAAATATGTCACGTATTTGGGAGAAAGTAATATATTTTTAATCTCTGTGACTCCTGTGCTATTCTGTTCATAATATATATTTGTATGGCTGCATGCCTGAACCACAGAGAGATTAAATAAAAGAAATTATCCAACCAGAGTGGTAATGTTTTTATTCCTGCACTCTAAGCCAACATGCAGATAAGGACAGAAAGTTCATACTAAGCATTCTCTTGTTGTCTTCCATATACAGACTACAGTGGTCTTTACAGAGATTAATTGATTTCATCTTTCCATCTTTTTGCACTTTGCTAGTGTTACAATAAGAGAAAATCCTCCTCCCTCCCTCGGTTCTGAGTCCAGCTCCTTAACTATACCAACAGAGTTGAAGGAGGCATAATCGTGTTCCCACTTAACACAGAATTAGGCTAAGGTCCAACTTTGCTTCAAAACAAATAGAATTTGCCAGATGAAAACTCTTGGACAGAAGGGTTTTCTGAGTTCATTTTCACAGACTATGTAAAAGGTTTTTTTGTTTGTTTGTTTTTTTTCAGTGATACTTTGATTATGAATTATAAAAGATGTATCAAAGCTGATCTAAGCTAGTCATGAAACAGAATGAAATTGCTTTCAGAGCTATCTTCCAACTCAAATTATGCTTTGATAAGATGCAATACTTTGTTTTCAGCTATTTTGATTTTTGAGAGAAGATAAACCACTTTGTTTTAAATCACTCAAAGAAAACATTCAGCTGTTTTTCATAAGTAGCATGTTATATTAGGAGACCTGTGATTTTCTCTAGATCAAACATGATACAATTTGTGTGTGGTAGAGAAGTGACCATGGACAGAGCTTTTGTTTTATAATGAAAGATACAGGTATCATGACCTTGAAGAAAAGCTTCCAAGAGGAAATCTGTGCAGTTTAATGGTGAAATCTGAAATCTTGAATATGATCTTGATCTTGAATATGATCTTGAGTGTCCTAACAAAGTTTCTGGAAAAGGCTGAACACTTCGTGCAAGATGGCTAGCATCCCCAGCCTAATTCATCCTTTCAGCCACAGACTCAGTCAACCAGAAACTAATATAAACCACTAAGTAAGAGAATAATAACTTTGTTCCTGAACTCTGTGTCTGTCCAAAAGCAAGTAAAATTATTTCATTTACCACAGAAGTAAACAGAGACTAAGCATTTTTATTTGCACAAAATGCAGCTAATTTCATACGCCTATTCAAGCTCAAAACCTAATGAGCATTTTAAACAGAATCTTCACAGTACTGAGACATTCCATGTTAGCAATACTAAGGAAATAAGAAAATGGCAGAGGGAAAATTATTCCAGGTGACTATTTCTTTTACTTTAAAGAACATTTGAATTGGTTAAAAATGCTGACAAATGACAAGATGATGGAAAAAAAAAAGACAAGAAATAAGAAGAAAATGCTCTGATCCTAAGTGCATATAGCAAAGTATAAATTAAAAAAATAGCTAAGGAAAACTCCAATTAAAAAAAAAAATCAAATAATTTTAGTCTTTACAATACTTTGCCTTATGGGGACATAAGAAACAAGCAAAATGAACCAATGGGAAAAAATACCTTTCTAGTGGAATAACAAAAAAGTGGGAAGAATATAAAGGTAGTGAAATAAGAAACAAATGCAAATGATAGCTAAAATTGTGTGGATTCAGTTATTTTGTCTCGAGTAATGATTTTCTGCTGTATTTAAGTAGGCAAAGCTGGTTGGTCACTTGGCTGTCTTCGTTTGCGTTTGGTTCCTGTGTGGAGAGAGTAGCAAGTCACTATATGAGTCAACTGATTGTTGATATCTGTACATAAATAAATTTCAAGTATAATTTTCTTTTGCATCCTTGAAAATTACATCTACCAGAGTAATTTAAAATAGGTAGCTACACATGCAGTGTTATCATCCCACTTTACCAATTTGTTAGCTCACTGTTAATTTTTCCTTTCCTGAAAATATTTTTATTGCATTTTTATCGAAGCCAAACTAAATGTCCAGTCAAAATATGGGTCTTATCAGTTAACATGTTAAAAATAAAAAAATCAACCCCTAAATCTGGAATGGATTTAGCATGAAGATAAAAATTCCAAAAATTTTGCAAAAATGCAAATTTTGATATTGCGTATCAGTTTGATGATGTAGAATATTTCACTGTTAAACACTTACTGCGTTTCAAACCATGTTGGTATTTCTCCTTGGATACACTATTCAAAAACAAAACAAAACAACAACAAAAAAACTACCAACTACAAAAAACTGCATGAAATCTATTGATAGTACAGAGGTGAAGTAAAATAAAAAAATTCTAATTTCATATTAGAATATATGTAAAGCTATACGAAGGACAAAATGTTCATTGACAAAAATGTGTAACGTAGTTAGGATACTGCCTTTGAAAATGAAATGCTGCTGGAGGCTGATTGATTAGTACTGTCCAATATTTTTGCTGTTATAGTTCTGTTGATATTTAGTGTTGCCAATATTTCCTCGCTTGGTAGTATTTTCATTATAAACACTCCATTCACAAAGATTTATAACTACCTTATAAAAAGTTGCCATAAAATGAAACTCAGTACATGAAATCTGAAGCCAGGGAGCAAATTTGATATGACAGGATGGAGTGTGTATGATTTTCACCATGGTTAAGTGCAAGTAAAATACAACTTTGATTAGAAAAACAAACAAACAGCAAGCAGTATAGTTTACACTGCTTGACATGGGAAAAGGTGTGGAGAGAAGGATTTACAGCACTCCAAATAGATAGCTAATGTACAAATTCTCATTTTTTCACAGGCAATTTTATCACGTGAGTATTACTTAAGAGCTAAACACATAGAACATGAAGTCTATGGCATTCAGGATGAGTGTGGTAGTAGAGCTCAGCCCTTACTTTGACTCTCCCAGACAGTTTCTTTGCACACGTGATGAGCTAGGGAAATGAGGAGATAAATGGTAACAAAACTAACCCTTATAAAAACCCAACCCAAACCAATTAAATATCAAAAATCCAATCCTGAACCATGTTTTATGCCTGCTTGGCTTTCATTGTGGAGTCAGATATGCTCCAGTTCTGGACTGTTCAGAGAAAAGGCAGGAATGTCTTGCTGTTAAAAATGGTTATGAAGTATAATTGGACCACGCATTTTGGTGTCAGATATGTCTTAGATTACTATAACAAATTTTTGCACTACAGCCTTTGTCTCCTTTGAGCTGTTCACTGCACAAAAGCTGCAAAAAGCAGCTGCATCAGCTGCTTTGTTTTTATACTTCTATCTCTGATGCAGACCTCATAGTCATCCTGTCATTGCACTTGCTTTTATATATTTGAGGACCAAATTCTGTTCAAGCTGTAGATAATATCCTTCAAAGATAGAAAAAAAATCTTGGACTTGGTAAAACTTCTGTCATTCAAGGAACATTACATTTATATGTAACATGTGAATTAGTCTTGTGTATGTGTATTTTGCTGGGAAGTGGAGGAGGAGGGCGGGTTGTGGGTGGCAAAAATGTACTCCTCAGTTTAATAAAATGAGTTATTTAAGCTGACTACAGATTTTCCCTTTTATTTATTTATTTATTTGCTGTCACCAATGAACAAACTTCAGAAAAGACAATAGATCGCATTAATATATTCAGGGATGAAACACAGCTTTTAGAACTTATACCTTTTAAATGATGTTCTATTTTTTATTCATTCTATTTTTTATTCATTGAAAGCATTTCTGGAACCATTTGTTATTCAGATTTAAGCTTTCGATGAAATAGTAATTGGAATTATTCTTTAGAGGACTTTAAAGTTATTTTATGCTACAACCAGATAGTAATAGTAGATGCCATATAAAAGTGAAAATATTACGTTAGCTTAATTAGCTCTCCGGCAATGATTAAGAGGTTTCTTCTAACACTTGAAGACATGAAGATGAAATCTTTCCAGCAGTTGTAAAGAAGAAATTACAATGGTTTATTCTGAAAGCAATTTGAAATTATAGTTTTGCGTTAAACTTAACTAGTAAGATTCAAGACTGCAGACATTTTATCTAAAATGTAAGGTCTCCTGAGTTTCTTTAATACAGAACTTAACCTTTCACTATACCTTCCCAGAACAACTTAAAAGGATAAACTGAACTACTGAAAAACGGTGACTCCAAATTTAGGAATGCTGTGATACTTTCTCTCTGAAATAGCAAAGACAATCTGCTGAATGACATGCAATTACAGAATCATTTAGATTGGAAAAAGACCTCTAAGACCATCTGGTCCAATCTTTCACCTAAAACTGCCAAGTCCACCAAGTTAAAGATGTTTCTTAGACCAAATAAAAGCATGATTATAGCTAGCTGTAGATTTAGAAGATTATCATATGAATAGAATGTTTTTCCATCATGACTGAATTACCAGAAAAAAATGTGTTAAAATCTCCCTGTCTTTCTCCTGTCATCTTTACAGCAAAAGTTCCTCTTATACACTTGTGGAAGGAAAAAATCAGCAGAGTTTTGAAAATGATCAGTAAGAAAGTTAAGCTTACACACACGAAAGAATTTTTCAGTTTAAATATGTGTTCAATCGTTATGTGTTCAACGCCTGCTTGTAAGGTGAAGTTGTAAAGTTCTACAAGAAAAAGTACCTAATACTTATACTTTTCTAGTAAGGAATTTTGCAGGCTAGCAATTCACTATTGTAATTTAGGATTGTGAATTTATTTTATGTTTTAGAGAGGAAACTTAAACTGAGACATAAAAGATTGACTAGAAAAAAATTGATAATTTTTCTATTTCCAATTCTCCTAAGATTTAGGTATTTCTTAATCAGTATTTCATCTGCCCCAAACAGACCTTTTGATTATTTTCTGAAGAATGACAACTTAATGCTTCCTTTAGTTTCACAGGATTTAGTTCAGTTTTCTCATATTTCACGGTGAACCCATGCGTGATTCATCAAATAGAAATAAAAAACCTTGCCTATCTAAAATATTTCAGGGCTCAGACACAATGTTATTATAGTATAAAAATTCATCTTGAATAGGATAATTTGAGATCAACTTGGTAAAAACTAAGCATCTTGAACAAGTTTGGAATTCTCGTCTTAGTGGATCCCATCCTGAGCTAGCTCAAGAGACATGATGATTATTGCTGACATGGTAACAGGGACCTGTTCTGGTCACTGTTATTTAACTGATGGCCTTACCATCTCCATGCTGTGTTCAGTGTCCAGACAGATTTTTTTCCCATGAATAAAGATTGTATTATATATTTTTTAAACGATTTATGGCTATTAAGAACATCACTTCAGATTTCATTAGATTCATTTATCTTTACTTAGCCAGGTATTCTCAAAAGATAAATCGATATATATTGATCTGAATTGAAAATAAAATCCTACTATTCTCAGATGAGAAACATACACACTGTATGGAAAAAACAAACAAACAAAACAAAACAAAAACAGAAAAAGAGAACAGATTTTATGATACATGTAGATAATTAAGGCTTATTGTGAGTTTGAGAAATTCTCTAAGCATTACAAAAAATAATAAAATAAAAATAACTTAGGGGACAGATATACCAGATGTCCTGAATGTTTCTATGCCTTCTGTTAAGGCATTTGGTAGTAGACACTGTAAGTGGTAGAACAGTTTATTAGATGGATATAGGTCTAACCCAGCAGGAAAACTCCTAGACTCCTTCCCAAAGACAGGCTTCTGTGCAGCCTCTGAAGGCACTGGGAGGTTTCTGTCTGCATTGAGCTTAATAGCATTTTGAATTCTTCCTTTCCTTGCAGAGATTAGAAAGATAAAATATGTGGAAACAAGGCAGTTCACACAGGCTAAACAAATTATTTTACTCCATAATTTATTCATTAAAATAAAGAAGTTCAGTGATTTTAGATTATATAAATTTAATTGGAATAAAGTAGATGCCTTAAAACATCAATGAAGCACTCAGAAAAGTTAATTCTTTTTTTCATGGCTCTATAAATTATTTCTTCTAGTTGTAAAAGCCTTCAATTACTCACTAGGAAATCAAAAACAATGGTTGTAATTCATTGAGGGATGCGACTGATGTTCTTTTGCATTCCCCCTGAAAGGGAATTCACTGTGATTCAGTGTGAACAAGCTGTGTCATTTTCATCCAACTTGTGTAAAGCTAGAGGAAATGAGCTGAGGTAAATCTTAAAAAGATATGTCAAACTATTTGTTTTTGTCTAGAGATGGGAGTCATCCCTTTTCCTTTTTTTCTCTCAGATGACAGAAGAAACAACGTAAGTCAAAGCACTTATTTCTTTCCAATAAGCTAATAAAAAAAATAAATAGAATATCAAAACTAACAATAATAATATCAAATACTTTTTTTTTTTTTTTCCCTTTGGCATTTATTTTGTGACCACTCAAGTCACAGAAACTGTAAAAGCAGTGCAGCAGTGCTTTCAACAGCTTTCCTTAGTCCCAGCAGCCCGGAAGAGAGTTCTGACAAAAACAGTGCATTTTGGCAGATCAATTGATTGACATGCTGAAAGCACAAGTAAGATAGAAAGGGCAGAAAGCTACCATCTCTTAAGTGATGCCCTCTCTCAGTGCCCATTAGTTAAATGTTATTAAAGTAAGCTAGGAAATAAATATTTTATTTTTAAAAATTTCCCATAGCACAAAGCAATAACCAACAATGATATTCAGAACATGCCATGTACAGAGTAATTATATTTCATACAGATATTTGGAGAAAAGAACGTCTTATGTTAAACCAAGGCATTTTCCTGATTGTAATTTTGCTATAGGCTTTGATAGGAACGAGCAGAAGTCAAATTCATTGTGAGTGTCTGTAGTATTGCATAACAGAAAGTGAACAATGATGATTCTCTCAAGATGGTTCAGCGTTAAAGACATAGGTCTTTGGTAGCTGATTAGCTAAGGGCAAGACAACACGGAGCCATCAGCAGCAGAAGAGAAAGAGAAGTAACATAAAAGACTTATTTCATCATATCTGAATGAAATCTGGATTTCAGGGTTCCACTTTACCATTTAATTTATGTGTATGGCTATAATTTCTTGTATATGGCTAGACCATATACTACTCCAGCAATTTTCAGCTATTGGCATCAACAGAGCAAGTGAAATTCAGAGCAGCCTTTTGTGTATTGCTGCTCCAAATACACTCAAACACAAAAGAGACTAAACTCAACTTTGCCTTCTGTCCTTCCATTGCCTTGTCTTGTTGCTTTTTTTACTGTTTCTATTCTCAGTTAATATTACAGCAGAGCAGCGTATAATGTAGAAGCATACGATATGAGATACGATATTCTTGAGTTACAGCACTACTTCTTCATGAACACTGCAGAAGATATTAACTTGAATATAACATTTTAAGTTTATTATTGCAACTCTAAATGGAGGGGAAAAATAATAGCATATAAATAGTGTTTCAGAAGGACAAGAAATGGGAATTTAGAGAGCTGGCGATCAACTGTGATTTAAAAAGAAAAAGCGTAACTTTAGCAGAAACTACTTTGAAGGCACTGAATCTAACGAAACATGATGGCATACTTTTGCATTAAAGAAAAATGGCAGCTTGCAAAACCGTGCTGTATAAGGTACTGGCTCTAGGTTGCAAGCATAAAGCCAAACTAAAATTAAAAATATATATCCTCTATTTTATGAGCATATTGAGGACAGTTTTTAAGGAAAAAAAAAAAAAAAAAAAAAAAGCAAAAAATACCTAACAAAGCAATTTCATAAAATAAAGAGGAAAGTCAATGTTTTTTTTTCCAGTTACTTTCAATTTATCTTATAGCCTTCTCCTCCCTGGAGAAATAATAATCAAAAATCAGTAATTGTGAGGAATTTTACTCATCACTTGTTTAAACAGAATAAAGTTCTTAGAAGAGTCCTCACGCTGCAACAGCTGAAGTGTGAGATAACTCTCATAGAACAGGTATGCTATTAACAACAAAATATAAACGATTTATATGATTAGAAGAGCATGAACTGAAATATTTTAAGTTATAGCTCACATTGGTGATGACTGCTTCATCCCTCCATCCTGATTACTCAGGACATCGATTCTGCATCATAAAATCACCATATTTAAATCCTAAAGCTAAAATAATTTTCTTTGTATAGTCTTGCAGCTGATAATGTGAGAACTAATTCACAGAGGAAGGAGTGTTATATCCTTTTTGGAGAGCCTTGTCTCTCACAAAATGAAATCTTCGCATTCTTTTAAGGTTTCATATCTTTCTAGTAACAGCTAGTTACTTCCACTTTTGTTTCTTTAGGATGAATGCTAATGAAATAAAGGCATGAGTATAGAAACCTCTAAAATAACTCAGAAACTGTTGTAGACACTCAAAATGTCAGCCAGTGTATACCCATTATAAAAATCCCTGGCTTCATTAATTCACTTTTAAAGGAAAAAAAAATAAACAAACATTACTGCTTTTTAAATAAATTCATAGAAACAGTCATATGCTAAAAAAAGAACTGTTCTGTGGCATAGAACCCCTCTGTCCATTTGCTTTAGAGGATAATCAGGAACTGAATTTCTGGGGAGCTATCAGAATTTCAGAAGACGTTCAGGCCTGCTGCTGAAGGCTTTGAGAACATATGCTTTGCTCCCATAAATGTGTTTTCCAGAAGATATTCAGGGATTTCAGTATGAAATGAGCAAGAAGAGATCCAGTTTTTAAGTCTTTGCTGGAAGGGTTAAGGAGCAATGTTTCAGGCAACTGGACCACCATGATGCATTACATTGTATCACCTGAATCAAATAAAGGATGGAAATAAAAGTTTTCACTAAGTTTAAAAACAGATTAAAACAGTTTAAAAACAGATGCACCATTCTACCACTACAACTATAACAGCAAAAATGAAGAAGCAGTAGCAGCAAGGAGCACATTGACAAGGCAGCATTACTATTTCTACGAGATATTATTCTTAATTTTTTAAATAAATTGCCTTGAAAAAACAGCAGACGTGTCACAATACCTTGCAGTCCCTTCCTTTGGGAAGAGAAGGGACCTCTATAGCATATGCTATATATTTTTTTTTTCCCCCCACAAATAAGATGTGATTTTTGGTTGACTGAGTATCACCCTTTGATCAGGTTCTGTAAAACTACTGAAGCACCTAATATTGCACCAGATCCATTCTTTTTATTTTTTTTTTCAGTGCCCTATATTTTCCTAACAGGAACCTAGTGTATACATGCATTTTAACTTACCAAATAGAAACCTTTTCAAATGATGAGCACTACCAAACCAAACCACTGAAAAAATTCTGTCCCTTGCTTAATGCAACTGTGATGCAGTGGGTGCAAGAATAGGAAGTTTCCAGGTTTCTGATCTTTTTTCCTAGAATATCATACAGAGAGCAAAACATTCTTTTCATTATTCTGTAGTAATAGCAATATCTCTGCTACTTGCCTTACTCTTGATGGTCAGAGGTAAGGCACAGGAATGGAGTCTTTTTAGTGAGAAAGAAAACACCTTTTTAAACAGAGCCTTTTCTTACTTTCCTCCCGTTAGTATTATTATCTATATCCAATATTTCCATACTTCCATGACTCCATAACTTGTCTTTTAACTTTATCAGCAATATCTCACATATATACACTTTCTACTAAGAGTGATCTATGGTAAATGTATAATGCAATATTAAGAATCCTAAAAATATTCTAGAAGATTTTGAATATTTTAAGTTTTACTATTTTACTGATTTTGTCTCATATCATTTTTTTCTAAGCTGGCTTTATTTCATATAAGCAGATCATATTTCAGGTGAAAAAAAACTGAGCACTATTACGTGCTCCTCAAATGCCCATACATTTGAAGGGGACTCACTAAAAAAGGATGCTTTATACTATATACTAAATATTATTGAAGGAAATAAGAGAAATATATTGAAGTATAGCAAGCTGTGACACACCTGTTAACCATTTTATTACCTGTAGTGTGTTTGATGGACTCCTTTGGTTGTTTACCTGTCTTAGAAACTCTAAATAAAACCATTATTTTAAACAGGTGCTTTATCAGCTGGAATACCATTGCTGCCTAAAATATTTTAATATCTAAGCTACATTTATCACAACTGCTGTCATTTCACAGCACTTAGCAGAATGTCCCACTACCATATGAGGAGTTAGCACACCAGCTGAAAGCTGTGAATATTAATTAACTGTATTACGATGATTTTTTAAAATAATTCCCCCCCCCCCCCCCCCCCCATGCACCAGAAAAGTGTACCATTTATATAAAGCATCTGGATGAGAACAAACTAGTCCCACCTGTAAAGTGGAAACTTTTTTCTGCAAATTAATTTCCTGAGAAAGCAATACCTCATTAAATGTCACAATACTGTTATGCTGGCTGATTTTTGCTGAGAAACAACTAGACCAAATCCCCATTCTGATTCAAACATTTTTGATCAGCTGGATTATTTTTTTTATCAACAAAACAACACTGAAGCAGAACACAGCTTTTAGCACACCCAGGTGTCACTCTAATCTCCATCACTGTTCCAGTTATCAGTGACTTTTTTTTTCCCCACATCTCATTAACCAATAGCTTGCAACAACTTGTTGTGATGCTTAAAACTAAGCTCACCTTGGCAGCTGAGTCAGTAACATTAATAGGAACTTTTCCCTCAATGCATTTCCCCATTTGGGTAGAGCAACCAGTGTCTTCAGATTTCCCCTTGATACTTCCAGTGAAGTCCTTGCTGATCAGACACTGATGCTGCAGCTGTGCAATTCCACCTCTTTCAGCAGGATTGCTCCCAGACTCCACAGAAATTACTTAAGAGTTTTGAAAACAGATTCTGGTTGAGGAGCCAGTCCCTTCTCGGCTCACAACCTCACTTTGCAGCTTATCTTGCTGCAGTTCCACTTCTGTTTTTTGTAAGATTTTCAGGAATGGCACTGTTTATAGAAACACAGAATTGTATAATAATCCAGGTTGGAAAGGACCTTCAAGATCACCAAGTCCAACCATCAACCTCACCTGCTGAGTGCCATCACTAAACTTAAATACCTCAGGGATGGGGGCTCCCACTGCTTCCCTGGGCAGCCCCTTCTCATGTTTGACCATTGTCTCCATGAAAAAATTCTTCCTGATGTCCAATCTAAACCTCCCTGGGCACAACTTGAGCCTGTTTCCTTGTGTCTTATCACTTGTCACTTGAGAAAAAGAGACTGAAACCCTCCTTGCTGCAACCCCTCCTTACAGGTACTTGTAGAGAGACATGAGGTCTCCTCTCAGCCTCCTCTTCTCCAGAGTAGGAGCAAACTAGCAAGACTTGTTTTGTAGTCCCTTCAACAAATTTATTGCTCTTCTCTTTATACACTCAAGCAACGTAATAGCCTTCTTGTAATGAGGGGCCTAAAATTGAATACAGCGCTTGAGGTGTGGTCTCACACTGGACAAGTAGAAGGGAACAATTACTTCCCAGTCCTTCTGGCCACATTATTTCTGATGCAGACCAGGATACCATTAGCTTTCTTGGCCACTTGGGCACACTGATGACTCACTTTCAGTCAAAGCACCCCCATATCCCTTTTCTTCGCTGGGTAACTTTCTAGACAAAGCCTGTTCTTCTGCATGGGATTATGACCCAAGTGCAGGATCCAGCACACCCTTGCTGAAATTCATGTGATTGGACTAGGCCAATCAGTCTAGCCTATCCAGATCCCCCTGCAAACCCTTCCTACCTACAAGCAAATCGATAATTCTGCCTAGCTTGGTATTGTCTGCAAACTTACTGAGGGTGCACCCAACCCCCTAATCCAGATCATTAATAAAAATGTTAAAAAAACTTGGCCCCAATACTGAGCGCTGGGAAACACCACTGGTGCCCATCCACCAACTTTATGGATTAAACTCCATTCACTGTGTTTTTTGAGCCCTGCCATCCAGCCAGTTCTTCACCCAGTGGATAGTACACCTGTCCAAGCCATGTCCTGCCAGTTTCTCCAGAAGAACATCATGGGAGATTATGTGAAATTACAGAATCACAGAATCACAGAATTTCTAGGTTGGAAGAGACCTCAAGATCATCGAGTCCAACCTCTAACCTAACACTAACAGTCCTCACTAAACCATATCCCTAAGCTCTACATCTAAACGTCTTTTGAAGACTTCCAGGGATGGTGACTCCACCACCTCCCTGGGCAGCCTGTTCCAGTGCCTCACAACCCTTTCAGTAAAGAAATTCTTCCTAACATCTAACCTAAAACTCCCCTGGCATAACTTTAGCCCATTCCCCCTCGTCCTGTCACCAGGCACATGGGAGAACAGGCCAACCCCCACCTCTCTACAGCCTCCTTTAATGTACTTATACAGAGCAATAAGGTCACCCCTGAGCCTCCTCTTCTCTAGGCTGAACAAGCCCAGCTCCTTCAGCCGCTCCTCATAGGACTTGCTCTCCAGGCCCCTCACCAGCTTCGTCGCCCTTCTTTGGACCCGCTCAAGCACCTCGATGTCCTTCTTGTAGCGAGGGGCCCAAAACTGAACACAGTACTCGAGGTGCGGCCTCACCAGAGCCGAGTACAGGGGGACGATCACCTCCCTAGCCCTGCTGGTCACAGTGTTTCTGATACAAGCCAGGATGCCGTTGGCCTTCTTGGCCACCTGAGCACACTGCTGGCTCATATTCAGCCGACTGTCTACCATCACTCCCAGGTCCTTCTCTGCCTGGCAGCTCTCCAACCATTCCTCTCCCAGCCTGTAGCTCTGCTTGGGGTTATTGCGCCCCAGGTGCAGGACCCGGCACTTGGCCTTGTTGAACTTCATACAGTTGACCTCAGCCCATCGGTGCAGCCTATCCAGATCCTCCTGCAGAGCCTTCCTACCCTCGAGCAGATCGACACACGCACCTAGCTTGGTGTCATCTGCAAACTTACTGAGGGTGCACTCAATGCCGTCATCCAGATCATTGATGAAGATGTTAAAGAGGACCGGCCCCAGCACCGAGCCCTGGGGGACGCCACTAGTGACTGGCCTCCAACTGGACTTGGCTCCATTCACCACAACTCTTTGGGCCCGGCTATCCAGCCAGTTTCTCACCCAACGAAGCGTGCGCCAGTCCAAGCCAAGAGCAGCCAGTTTCTTGAGGAGAATGCTGTGGGAGACGGTGTCAAAAGCCTTGCTGAAGTCAAGGTAGACCACATCCACAGCCTTTCCCTCATCCACCCAGCGCGTCACTTTGTCGTAGAAGGAGATCAGGTTCGTCAAGCAGGACCTGCCTTCCATAAACCCATGCTGGCTGGGCCTGATCGCCTGCTTGCCCTGCAAGTGCCGCATGATGACTCCCAAGAGGATCTGCTCCATGAGCTTCCCTGGTACTGAGGTCAAACTGACCGGCCTGTAGTTCCCCGGGTCTGCCCTCCGGCCCTTCTTGTAGATGGGCGTCACATTTGCTAGTCGCCAGTCAGCTGGGACCTCCCCCGATAGCCAGGACTGCTGATAAATGATGGATAGGGGCTTGGCCAGCTCCTCTGCCAGTTCTCTCAGTACCCTTGGGTGGATTCCATCCGGCCCCATCGATTTATTGACATCCAAGTGCCGTAGCAGGTCACCGACCAGTTCTTCGTGGATGGTGAGGGCCACATCCTGCTCCCCGTCCCCTTCCACCAGTTCTGGGTACTGGGTATCCAGAGAGCAACCGGTTTTGCCGCTAAAGACTGAGGCAAAGAAGGCATTAAGCACCTCCGCCTTTTCCTCATCTCTTGTAACTAAGTTTCCCCCCGCATCCAGTAAAGGATGGAGATTCTCCCTAGTCCTCCTTTTTGTGTTGATGTATTTATAAAAGCGTTTTTTGTTATCTTTAACAGCAGTAGCCAGATTGAGCTCCAGATGAGCTTTGGCCTTCCTAATCTTGTCCCTGCACAGCCTCGCTACATCCTTATAGTCCTCCTTAGTGGCCTGCCCAATTTTCCAAAGATTATAAACCCTCTTTTTCCTCCTAAGCTCAAGCCACAATTCTCTGTTGAGCCAGGCTGGTCTTCTTCCCCGCTGGCTCATCTTTGGGCACATGGGGACAGACCGCTCCTGCGCCATTAGGATTTGCCTCTTAAAGAGCGCCCAGCCTTTCTGGACCCCTCTGCCCTTCAGAACCGCCTCCCATGGGACTCCACCAACCAGTGTCCTGAGCAGCCCAAAGTCAGCCCTCCGAAAGTCCAATACAGTGGTTTTACTGGTTCCCTTCCTGGCCCCGCCAAGAATAGTGAACTCCACCATTTCGTGGTCACTCTGCCCAAGACTGTTCCCGACAATCACATCCTCCACCAGTCCTTCTCTGTTTGTGAAGAGAAGGTCTAGCGGGGCACCACCCCTGGTAGGTTCACTAATCAGCTGCGTCAGGAAGCTATCTTCCACTTTCTCCAGAAACCTCCTAGACTGCTTCCTCTGGGCTGTGTTGTGCTTCCAGGATATGTCAGGGAAGTTGAAGTCCCCCACGAGTACAAGCGCCGACGAATTCGCAACTTCTGTCAGCTGCCTGTAGAACTCCTCATCCGTCTCCTCATCCTGGTTCGGCGGTCTATAGCAGACCCCGACCAGGACACTAGCCTTGTTGTCCCTGCCGATCCTAACCCAAAGGGACTCGATCTTGTCATTCCTAGCCTCGAGTTCTACAACATCGAAAGACTCTCTGATATAGAGAGCCACACCGCCACCCCTTCTGTGCTGCCTGTCCCTTCTGAAGAGCCTATAGCCAGGCATCGCAGCACTCCAGTCATGAGACTGGTCCCACCACGTCTCCGTGATGGCAACCAAGTCGTAGCCTGCCCGCTGCACGATGGCTTCCAGCTCCTCCTGTTTGTTACCCATGCTGCGTGCATTGGTGTAGATGCACTTCAGCTGGGCCTTTACCTTATCCTCCGGCCTTGCCATTGCTCCCCCTGGCACAGCCCTAACAGTCCTTGTTTCAGCCCCATCCCCCTTCTTACCTAGTTTAAAGCCCTATCAATGAGCCCCGCCAGCTCCTGGCCCAGGATCCTTTTTCCCCTAGAGGATAGGGACCCGTCTACGGCCATCAGACCAGGTGCTGAGTAAACTGCCCCATGGTCGAAAAACCCAAGATTTCTGCGTAGGCACCAGCCCCGGAGCCACGTGTTTAACAGGTGGGCTTTCCTTGTCCTCTCCGTACCCCTCCCTGTCAACGTAGGGATGGACGAAAAT